TTCAAATCTCACCAGGCTCAAGGTTGACTCAGCCTTCCATCCTTCCGAGGTGGGTAAAATGAGGACCCAGACTGTTGGGGGCAGTAGGCTGACTCTGTAAATTGCTTAGAGAGGGCTGTAAAGCACTATGAAGCAGGATATAAGTCTAAGTGCTATTGCTATTGATGGGTTTCTAAGCATTTGAGATTTTACACCACCAGAAAAAAGTGTAGAGAAGGGGGGAAAAGATAATCACACCACTGAGTAATTGTCCTTGAGCATTAGAACCATGGGTGAAGAAAAATTAGAAGGCGAAAGGGAAGGGGGAAGAAGAGAAAGAGAGACTGGCATGATTTGGAAGAGTGGATAGGGAGAATTTTCTTTCTCCTAGGCAAAATCCTTATCGTCCAACAAAACTAAGTGATGAGTGATGGAATCTCTTTGTTGATATTTCTGCAGTACAATACCTCAAAGCATTCTCTCTAAGGAATAGAGGAAGTCAAAAAGAGAAAACTAGAAAGAGACTTGAGAAAGAGATGTAGATAAAGAAAACGGTTACATGAATAAAACTCCATATAAGGTCTAGAGAGATTTATTGGTTAAACTACCTGTAAAAGAGATACTATAAAATAATCCTTGTGAAGTATTTCCACATAAAGTACACAGCTGAGTTCTGGAATTCACTATGGTAGGAGTCAGTAATGACTATCATTTTGGCTGTTCCAAAAGGAGACTTGACAACTTGATGGAGAATAATAGCCATGATGGGTATTGATTACTGTTGGCACCAGTGACTCTACTTCTCCCAGTTATTGGAAAGGAAAAGATCACACACTAATATCTTGCTCCTGAGCTTTTCATAGGTTCTGATTAACCAATGGGAAGAGAAATCTACTGGATAAGGCACCTTTTTTTTTTTTCAGTCTTAAGTTTCATAAATATTTGATGTTTGCAAGTTCCACCAGTATTTCCTCAAAAGAACATTCCACTTCTACATAGATTCTGTTTTGTCACAAATCTTGTTGTCTTCTTTACAACTGTAGAGAAAACTATTATACTTATTTCCCTAACATGGAGAGCTTTTATAAATTATGTATGGGATGGAAAGAATCCTGGTGGTCAAAACTGATTTTCAAAGAGAGAAAATTGAGGCAAATATGTACGTATTTTATATTTACACACCATTTTGCCCCATTTAATGGGCTGTGAGAATAACTTTGAGAGACAGGAGGAAGAGCCACAGCATAAAGTTGCAATACAAAGGACAGTCACTGACATCATTGAAAGAGATGGGGATGTGATTTAATTTAATCCCCCGTCTATTTATTTATTTTATTCAATTAATAAGACCCCAAAATGGAGGAGTGCTGGATGAATCAAGGTGACATACAAAGAATTAAAATCACATCATTAAATACATATTTAAAAGCAAAACAAAACACCCCAACCAGAGGGGAACAAATAAAACCAAAACCCCATGCTAGGAAATGCCAAAATTACCTCTGCCCCCCAGATTCAAATATCCTATTTCTAAACAGGCACACAGAATGCCCTGATCTATGACCTGCCAGAGGAACCATTTTTTTCCAGCTTTCCTAAAAGATAGTCAACCTGTGCAGAGTCTGGAGGAATAAACATCTATGAAAAGTCTCAGTAAACCAGGTCATGGTTGTCCCAAAGATGCTTTTTCAAAAAGCAACTGAACTTTGTTTTTTCTTTCTTGAAGATGTTTCGCTTCTCATCCATGAAGCATCCTCAGTTCAGACAGTAAGGAGGAATGCTGTTGCAGAAGACAGAAAAAGGGTAGATCTGAGGTCCCATAATAGGCCACTGTTAAGCAATTTGAGCAACTGGGATATTTTAAAAATCTAAATATCTACCTGAGGTTTAGCATAACTGTTTTATGTTATGTTTCCAGCAAATGTTACATTGGAAATCAGTTGAAAATGTTTCTCTTGTACAATGATTTCCACTGCAGTCTAACAGGGCAAGCAGACTAAGTCTTGAAAAAGTCCACCACTAGGAAATCGATGGAGGAAAGTTTCAAGTGTCTCACACTCTAGTTCCCTGGACTGCATTTTCTCCTTTGAAAAAAGCATTTGGTGTCTGTCTGGATTTCACTGGGTTCTTCTGCTACCTCATCATACCCTGTGCAAAATTGGGAATATTGATAGAAGTAATCTGGGTATTGGAAAAAGGTATTTGCTTTACTGTGAAATTTCATCAGGGGGTATTGGGTTGCTGACCTACTATTTGAAAATATCCTTTCATATCTGAAGGAATATGAATGTAGCCATCAATTCAGCAATCACATGATCAAAGGGGAAAGGGCATGTAAAACTCTACAAACCTTATTCTGACCTGATTTTTTAAAATTGTTCTTGACTTGTTTTGCCAGGAGAGAATTCGGTACATTACTAATGGACAAAAATAAATAAAAGCTGGAAATGTCATAAGGTTTTCTTTATTTGTTTGTGACTTCTTTAAGTTGATTGAGCAAGGATTGGTTTTTAATAGACATTTCCTCTGCCCTATCTATGCAAAAATCCAATGGCAATTCCATTAAGGTAAACTGTTTCCAGTTTATTGCCTGGCAAGGTATTATGTGGGATAAGTTATTCCTTTTCTTGCTTATGGAATGAAGCTTAACTCATTAGTGTTTGACCATCAGTGGTTCAATAATAATAGCTGGATTTGGGGTCAAATATCCTGGATTGTGAAGTTAATCTGAAGAATACAAATGATTGGGGTAGCAGCAAATTCTTTCTGGGTTCCATAATTGGACTGACAGGACATTCTGGTTGAAACCCATTGAAGCTAATATTGTTCTCACTGTTTCTTCCTTTTAAATATAGGTTTTATAGACAGAGAACAGCTAGAGAGATATGAATGTAAATTTTGTTTTTTGTTTTTAAAAAGTTACAGATGCTGATATTATTTTTCTTCTATTTTCAGAAACAAAATGGTGTTTATCACCAAGTAAGACATATGATGTTTAACTGCTACCCATTATCTCCCTCCCCCCCCACCATGTTGCAGAAGGAAAATTATATTAATCATAGGATTTAAAATTAGTGGCATTACAGCCTGACCCAGGGGTGGGTTCTACTTATCTTTACTACCGGTTTGCAGCGGGGCCGCGTGCGTGCGCTCTTCTGCGCATGCGCAGAAACATTTTGATGACATTGGGGTCAGTGGGCGGAGCCTCCCGCTGGTTTTACTACCAGCTTTATTTATTTTCATCCTGCCTTTATTATTTTTATAAATAATTCAAGAAAGCCAACATACCTAATATTCCTTCCTCCTCCCATTTTCCCCACAAAGACAACTCTGTGAGGGGGTTTGGCCTGAGAGAGAGAGTTTAGTCCAAAGTCACCCAACTGGCTTTCATGTCAAGGGTGAGACTAGAACTCACAGTGTCTTGGTTTTTATCCTGGTACCTTAACCACTGTACCCTACCAAACGTGACTGAACTATGGCTTCCATCATCCCCACTGACCATGTTATCATGGTCATCAGGAATGCTCAAACTTGTAGTTGAACATCTGAGAGGTAGTAATTTTTCTCCATATGACATAGGGTTTCTTTCTGATTTGTGTCCAGACACAGCTATTTGAACAAGGGAATCAAATTGTAGACACCTGTAGGAAATGAAAATAAGAACGGGAGAGTGAGAAATCAACATCACATTGTTGTAAACCATGACCTTTATGTTCTTAAATGAAACATCATACTGTACATTTTGGCATTTTGGCATCATCGTAGTTAGAAATAGATGCCTGTGAATTAGGTACCTCTTAGGTCACTAATCTGGATATAACCTTTTGGAGTAGCTTAGATTTCAAAGAATCTTTTCCTCAAAACTACTTGAGATAGGCAACTATGCAAAACAAACAGACAAATGAACAAATAAATAAATGTCAACATCAAACATGTTAAAGTAAGGCAAATACGATATAAATAAGCATATGTTCAGTTTTAAATCTTTTGGAAGTGGGCAGTTTTGTAAATGCAATCTTGGACAACAAAAAACTTAGGTATTCACATTCAAATTCAAGCTACAGTGCTGAATATTTAAACAAAGGATAATCACCTAATCAAGCACAGGCTGATGCCCTTTCCAGGATTGAGAACATTTCTCTCTTGTCTGGATTAACCTTTGATTTGTTTGCTCTTATCTTGTTCAGCACCAGCATTTAGCTGCTGATCTTAAACTCTGACAATTTCCCTTAAGGTAGATGAAAAGGAAAGTTACTGGCGCCAAAATAAAACACACCAAATGGCTTTCCATCATGGTTGCCTCATCTTGTTTAGCCCCACAGAAAGTTATCCCTTGGTCATACTGAGGCAGCCAGTATGCTGCCCTCCAGTCTGGAAAGCGACATAAAGTAGATTTGCTCTCTCTGCATGATCTGCCTCTACTCTGCCTTGGTGACAAGGCCAGTGAAAGGTTCAGTTCTAACAGTTTACTACAGGGCAAGTTCAGGTGCAGTGATCGATGGGATTCCCTGATGGTGGGGGATGGGGGGAGAGAGGACATATCAGTTGCTCTCCCTAAAGTCTAAAATGGGAGGCACAAGGAATTAGGGCTGATTGAGGTCTAGGAAGTTAGCATCCACCCCTCTCCTAGAAAAATGAAATATTTTAGGAGATATTAAAGGGCAGAATATTTCCCCTAAAAGGGAGGCAGAAACTCAGCTCCCCCCACACCTTTGTCAATGGGCCATTAAGGCCTGGGCCAGTCTATTCTACATAACAAAGATCTACCTCCTTCAGGCAGAGCCATAATAGGAATCCCAAAGCCCTTTCATTACATCATCACCCAGCGAGGTTCAACCAAGCTTGGGACTCAAAAACACAACCTACAAAGTTACCCCTGCATGGCCCCAGGGAAGTCTGACAACCAATCACAATTCAAGCTCAAATTCAATAGCCCAGAGAAGGTATAAAACTCAGGAACTCTCAGCATCTCTTCCCTTTTTTTCCCTTCACCCAAGATCTTCAAAACATGTGATACTGTTCACCATAAAAACCATCTTTCCAAGCAGCCAACATGTTTCCAGTGTCTTTCTGCCCACTTGGAACTGAACCCAGCTGGACATTTCTTCCAACAGAGGTAAGCATTTCAACAGTAGGTTTAGCCTTCTGTAGAACCTGATCTGTATGTACATGAGATGAGGTGGAGGGGAGACTTTCCATTCTTGCTTTTCTAGGAAGCACCTATTGATCCACGATCCCCGGCTGCAGCCTCTATCGTCCTATCCTCATGTGCAAGATGGACTCTGTGTGTGTATGTGCCTCAGTAACACAGGAGAAGCTCTTGTTTTACTGGGAGACTCTATCCTGTGGGACTATCTGTTGTGACTCCGACCCCCGAGCCCGTCTTATCGGAGGGAGAAGACTCCGAAAGTGAAGGAGAGGAGTTGGCAAGGCCTCCCTCTCCAGGACCCTCCTCTCTGGCAATGCCTCAGGTGTCTTCCGAAGGAGGAGAGATAGGCCAGGAGCCAGGCATTTCCGAGCAGCCGCAGTTAGACAGCGACAGAGATAAGTCTTGGCTGGATCTCCGACAGTGTCGGAAAGACAAGCGCACGCAGCAGAGAAGGAGACGTGCCAGAGATTAAGCTGAGTCACTGGACCACACCCCACAGGGGATAAAAGGGGGTGTGGTGGCCATTCAGGCTTTGTGATGGACAAAACTGAAAGCTAGCAAGTCATTCTACATTTCTGGAACTTTGTTATATGCTCTGCTTGGACTGATTTTTTGGACTGGACTTGACTATTCTTTGGCTTTTGTGGACTTTGATGTTTTTGGTCGGAGGAGATAAACCTCCCTTTGTAAGTAAAGACTGTTGGCAAGCAGCCACTGGGTTGCTGCCAATTCTGTTATCAAAGGAAATTCTTGTCCGCTGGTTTATTTTAACTCTTGGTCAACTGCTGGTGTGCGTGTGTGAGATGGGGACAGAACACTATCAATTCACCTGCTAGTGTACTGTGCACATTATCTGAGAGGGGATAGTTTTATCTCTCAGGTCCTTTGCATCATGTATGGCTCTGTATTGCCTTCCAACATCCTGCCAGTGGTTTATGGGAAATCTGGAATGAAGACTCTGCCCTCCCTGGCCACTTGCTGATAGAAGTAGGTAGATAACCACATTAGAGAACTGGCAGCTGTGGCAACTGTCAAGAGACACCATGGAATGGGTGGTAGTGCCAAGGTTGCTGCTGAAGATGCCTCCTTCCCTGTTTCTCTTCTTCCTCTTTCCTGCATTCCCTGTCTCCTGGTAGTGTGTGTATTTGTGTTCCATCTTATCCTCTCCTCTCTTACCTCACACATTGCAATGAGACACAAAATGATCTTGCGGTGACTTTTCTATTTTTCCTTCCTTCTTGTGGCTCCTTCCTCTCCAGTGAGGAGGAAAGCAGGTTCACTGAGATACAGGAGAGATCTGAAAGCTTCATACACCATGCAAATATCAACTCCTGTTTGTGGAGATGATGGAAAATGCTTTCCACATTGGTCCAGATAAGTCAGAAGTTAGTCGTTCTTAGCACTAAGAATGCACCACACAAGGCATATGTGTCCTTAATGTGACACATATTAAGCAAGGCAACTCCAGCTGATCTTAGAGGGATGTACAGATGTGTCATTTGATGTTTGATGGCCTGTTGTGTTATAGCAGGAATGCCCAACTTCTCTTGGCTCAAAGGCTTTTCCAGTCTTGATGCAAGTGGGCAGAATCTTTAAGAACAGTCAAGGTCAGAGTTCACTTTGGAAGAACATTTGGGATTTTTTAATGGATGGAAGTATAACAAAATAGTAATTATAATAATATATTTATAAATACATACAATGATTGATATTGTTATCTTTTTATTAAAATATAAAAAATTAAATTAGAAAGAAGCAGAAAATAACTAAAAGTATTTATAAACAGAATTAAACCGACAAAGCCTTTATCCAAAGCCTCACATTATCTCTTCAGACTATTTGCTTCAAATTCCAACTGTGTTTTCATTGTGTTGTGGTAATAACAGAAGCACTAAAAAGAAAGGTTGACTGATTGAGCAATATTTTGGCTTTGTTAAACTAATCAAGAAAATATGCTCTTAGTTTACTTATTATTATTGGTAATCTTTTCATTTCAGTAAGTTGTCTGGGTAAGCTTATAGATCTCTTTTTAAAAGCATGCAGACTATATACACACACAAAGGCACATGCAAACATTAGTATTTAAAAGGATAACCACCAATGTAACTTAGCTCCTAATCCCCATTTTTTTAATGAAAAATAGAAATCTATTCACAGTAGCCTAAGGATTTGCTATCAGAATCCAATAAATATGACTAAAATTAGGTTTTCCTAAATCAATGACTCCTTGAAACGAGCAAAAAATAAAACAGCTTATCTTGCTATTTTGGTCTTCAAGAAAAGATATTTGCAGATAGAAACAATTAGAGAATTGTTCTATGGGATAAGGGGATGAAGGAAGAGATGGTTCTCTGTTTGGAAAGCAAGAGCTTGAGTTATGACAGATGGTGTTATTCTGGAAAAGAAATTCAGTTTTAATTAAGGTTTTAATAGTGCGAACCAGATGTTCATCATGTACTTTATCTTTGGAAAAAGTTGGGAGAATGCCAAGAAAATACATATACGACTCACAGGTTTTGCTTCAAGTAGGAATATCTCCAAAACTATCTGTTGTTATTTATGTGAATTAAAATAACATTCCAGCAAAGAACAAAAAAAATCACACTAGATGGGTATCCAAATTTCCATAGAAAATATACTAGCATTTGTTATCTAATAATGATCATCTGACATAAGCAAATCTCTTCTTTCAATGTCAGATAATTTAAGGCCTCTTAGAAGCCTTAGACCAGGGGTGTCAAACTCAAGGCCCGCGGGCCATATCTGGCCCATGGGGTGCTTAGATCTGGCCCATGGGGACCCGCCTGGAAATAACAAAGGAGCAGCCCGCGGTGCCTCTGCTGGCCAAAATGGGGTGTGGGGGGCTGCCCCTGCGGCCCGTTTTTGACCGGCAGAGTGCTGCAGGAGGCATCTGACCCTCGCTCCCCCCCTCACCGGCCAGCCTGTGGAAAACTACAATGCTGATCCAGCCCTCGAAGAAATCCAGTTTGACATCCCTGCCTTAGAGGCCTTAAATGCTATGAGACCAAGTCAAGTAAGATATGTCATGCATTAAGTTTGAAAAAAAAAATCTATCTCTATTATTGAGTGGCCTTTTTCCTACTACTACTCCCTCTGCTTTTTAAAACAAAATATACAAAATTATAATGTATGGTAAGAAGTTGGTTCCTGAATCCACATTTACAACAGGTAACTCTTTATTGTAGCAACAGATGGTAGCAGACATGTATTGTATCTTAACAACTGTTTGGTTCCTGTTGTTCAAAGGCAAAAGACTATAATGCTTGTATAAGGCTATAATGCTTAACGCTACAGACAGTCAAGCACAAATAAATAAGTTACAAATATGCAACAGAACTCAGCATTTTAGAAATAATGAGGTGATACATACAACCACCATACAGGTACAGTTGGAACCATAACTGAGACTAGAATTTCCATCACTAAGCAATGTGGTCATTAAGTGACTTGTGGTCAATTTTTTTGCATGGTTGTTAAATGGATTATAAGGTAGTTAAATGAATCTGGCTTCTCCCATTGACTTTGCTTGTTGGAAGCTGGATGGGAAGGTTACAAATGGTGATTGAATGACCTGCTTTTCTTGCCTTCTTGAATTAAAGGATCCCTTTTCTGTCAGATGGCTTCCATGTCTATTTCTTCTCAGCATAAGTGACTACTTCCCAGCTGGGAATGAACTCAGGAAATTTTCTTCCAACAGAGGGACCCATAATAGCTCACTGATGAGGAACTAATATGGAAGAAATACAAGGATTCCACAGAACACTGTTTGGGAAGCACTGCGATTAAGAAGTTTTACTTATGAAAGAGAACAAATTGCAAAACAAAAATATGAAAGAGTGAATGCGTTGAGAGAAAGGGAAAGTGTGAGAAAGTCAAGGCTGGATAAAGTTGATGAGACCCTCAATAAGAAAGAGGCAAGTTGAAAGAAAAGATAATATATGAAGCATGGATGTGACAAAAACAAAGATAGTTTACAATACTGTTTTTTAATATGATCAACTTTCAAGATATGTGGACTGGGGAATTCTTGGAATTGAAGTTTGTTGCTGAAGTTGAGAAATACTGGTTCATAAGAATGAAAGCACAGGCATGATTGCAGTGAATGGTGTTGGTGTAAACGAGATACCATTGTATTTTTTCCTTTCCATATACCATGCCTTTAATTTCTCATACTATTCCTTAATTGTTTTCTCCACTTTGCATATCATCACTTGCATGAAAGGAGAACAGATGATGTGTATGGAGGGATGTATTCTGACTGCATAGAGAACTTATTCATAATCTGCTGCTCATCTCTGCAGACATTACTTTGCCAACGTAGGCACTCTCTGCTCAAATATTTGGGAAATGGTCAGAAGATGCAGCTGCCTTCTGTTCTCTGTTCATGATTCATATGGAAAAATAGGGCTGTAATCCTACTGCAAGTCATGTTTGCATGGGCTTGGGCCTATTTCACGAAGTTGAGTTTCAGTCTGATTTTGATTAAATAGGATAAATAAATAAAGTGGAACACAGAACATAGAAGGCAGAATAACAAGGTTGGAAGGGACCTTGGAAGTCTTCTAATCCAACCTTCTGCTCCACCAGAAGATTTTATATCATTCCAAAAAAAAAAATTGTCCAATATCTTCTTGAAAACATCCAATGATTGAGCATTGAGCAGACTGGAGGCAAGCTATTTCACTGATTAATTGTTCTCACTGTCAGGAAATGTCTTCTTAGTTCTAGGTTGGAGTTCTCTTTAATGATCTTCTACCCAATACCCTGTTTCCCCGAAAATAAGACATCCCCTGATAATAAGCCCAATTGGGCTTTTGAGCGCATGTGCTAAAATAAGCCCTCCCCCAAAATATTAACCGCATGCACAGCCGGTCCCCGCCATTTCCTTTTTTTTTTTTTTTTGAATTTGATTTTTATTATAACATATAGTGATACAATCGGTACAT